GCCTGGCTTAATGTCTTTTTAAACAATGATGTTGCCACACTGTTGCCCAAAATGTATACCAATTGACAGCTACCAATTGATTTGTTGAGTTAAAAGAAAAAAAAAAAAAAAGAACCTTATTCCCTCATTGCTGGTTTACCTTATATTGTTATATTATTTTTGGTAACTGGTGGAGCAAAACTTTTGATACACACTTTTTTATTTTAAGATTTATTTTATTTATTTATTTACTTTGTATTTTAAGGAAGGGCCTACAGGGTGATCAGGGTCTCACTACTAGATAAGACTCGTAGTGATCTGCTTACAGCTTCCCAAGTGCTGGGGTTACAGGTGTGAGCCATCACACCCAGTCTCAGTTGCCATCTCAGGGCACCCCGGGGGCAGGGCTGGCACGGCATGTCATGCTGGGCATTGAACCAGGTGCAGGTGCTTTAGTCCACTGAGCAGTCTTGCTGGCCCTGGGTTGGGTTTTGAAGAGTTCGCTCAAGCAGATCTGCAGTGCTGAGGTGACAGGCATTGCTGTGCACTAGTGGGGTCCCTTAGAACCACTGAAGTCATGTGATCATGGTCCCAGGGGCCAGTGAACACTCTCTGGCTTTCTGGTATTAGGGGACACATGCACATTCAACTGATGACTTCTAGCATTAGTTAAATGTTGAAACACTCGACAGCAAGCACGGATTGAGGGATCTAGGATAGAAGTTATTCAGCGGTGTGGGAGAGAGGCAGGGAGGGGAAGAGCTGAGGCAGAGGCGCAGATGGTGAGGGTGTGGGGAGCCCTGGGGAAAGAGCCTGAGCGGGTGGCACATACACATGTTGTATGCAAAGCATTTTTAACTTCCTTAGTGTGATGATGCACGTCTTATATTTCAGATGAATTTACAGCAGATCTTCTGCATTGGGCTGCTCAGTTTAGTGTGCTGTGTGTTTGGCCAAACAGGTAAAAAAATAAAAGCATTTTTCCTACTTCTCTTTCTTTCTTGAATCTCTTGTAATTCTTTGATCAGTTAGAAGCCCAGAAAGACCCGGGTCAGCTCTTGTGGTGCCTTTAGGAGCCTGATCAGACAGCTGAGTCTTTGTAGGGACTAAGACTCTGCCCAGGGGACACTGACAGCAGGGGACCGGTGAGGGGACATGGCAGAGAGAGGACAGAGCGGACAGTGGGAGGCTGTTAAGCGAGCAGGGAGCTGATATAGGCAGGTAACACACTCAGAAGCAGGTAGAGTCCGTGTGTGGAGCGGTGGGCTGGTAACTGCCCATTATTTGTGCAGACAGAAGTCTTAGGAAATGCTGGCATCGTCTAGAAGAGTAGTGTAAGAGTTTCAGGTATGTTTGATCTTTGTGTGAACCATGTTTTAGCCACATGTGAAATAATGAATAGTATGCGTGTATGCTTACTTCCTTGCTATTTCTTGATCTCTCTATAGAAAGACTGGAAAGAAATATATAAAAATGTTAACAGTGGTTATAAATGATGAAAATGATAGCAGTGGTTATCTCAGATTGAGGGAGGTTTCTAGTTGGCTCATTCCGCTGTTCTGTGTTTTCTGAATCATCTTCATAAACCATTTATTAGGTTTATGATTTATAAAAGGTGTATCAGAGGCCAGGTGGGGGGTGCATGCCTGTAGTTCTGGCACTCAGAAGGCTGAGGCAGGAGGATCCTCACAAGTTTTGAGACCAGGCTGGGCTACATAGGGAGCTCAAGGCCAGCCAGAACTTAATAGTAAGACCCTGTCTCAAAAAAAAAAAGTGTTTCTTGGTTAACATATATTGCATAAAAGGCATATTGGTCCTTAGGTGGACTGAGAGAAATTTAAGGCATATTTTGAAAAATGAATCTAAACACAGAATAATGGATTGGATAATTATGAACTGTGTGGCTTTTCCAGTTATTTAGTATATTGAAAATGAAAGGAGGGACTGGGGAGATGGCTCAGTAGAATAATTGCTTCCCTGGCAAGTGCAAGGGCCTGAGTTCAATCCCTGGTTCCACCAAAAAAAAAAAAAAAAAAGAAAAGAAAAGAAGAAAGAAAGCCCCAGAGATGCTTATGGTATGTGTGGGTATGCTACCATGTGTCATATGAAAAGAAATAACCTTACCTAATTGGAAAGCAAATTTATGACATTTGTAACCATTTAAAACAATAGATTCTGAAATTATGCCTTTGAAAAAAAAAAGAGAAACATACAAGTAGATGAACAGTACCTAGTCTTGGATGTAAAAGACAAGAAAGATAACTGTGTAATCAGAATTCACTGTCTTTGGGGTAGGTCTATTTCAACTTGAGAACCAGGTCAGAATATTCATGTCTAACATTTCTCTATATGTGTTGCATTGTTTGTCATTAGAATACTGATTTATCATTCACTTTTTCTCTGAAACTTTACTTAAATTGACCTGTTTTTTCTTCTCCTTGACAGATAAAAATAGGTGCTTGAAAGCCAATGCCAAATCATGTGGCGAATGTATCCAGGCAGGCCCGAACTGTGGGTGGTGCACCAATTCGGTAAGTAGGCTTGCTCTTGCCCTCCTGTGTCTCATCATCGAGCGTTGTCCTATGCTGTGTCCTTCAGAAATACCAGCCAGGACTTCTCGCTGAAACCACAAATCGGCGGGTATGGAATAGTGTGGACAGTCCAGGACTGTGCTGTCACAGGAACGCCTAGCCATGTGTCTTGGTTACTTTTCCCTCCTTGCTGAGATAAAATACCCCATGGCCCAAATTAAGGAAGAAAACTTGGTACAGCTCACAGCCTGTGGAGGCTTCAGGCCCTACTCGCCTGTCCTCAGGGCAGGGTGGCACAGGGCCAACAGTTCATGGCAGAGGAAGGCAGCAAAGGCAACTAGAGGAGAAGGGAGGAGCCCAGCCAGCAGGCCTTTCCCTTTCTTCTATTGAATGCAGCTGCCCGCCCCAGGGTGGTGTGGCGCTCACACCCATAATCCCAGCCCTGGACCATGAACTAAAAATCACAAACTCTAGGAGCCTACCGCACACATGACTGTCGGATGTCATCTGTGTCATCTGTTTGACTGTGTGACAGGGAAAGTGAGAGGCTTTCTTGGGATTTTTGGTAATGGCACTTTGTTCTTCTAGAAATGATCTGCTGGGATTAACCCAGCCACGGGAGGAAGGAGCCAGTGCTGTGAGGTTGTCGAAGGCAGAGCTCGCTGACCCAGGCTCTGGGCCCTGGAGTCAGGCTAGCAGCAGCTGCGTCTGCAGCTTCACTTGGAACTGAGGATATTCAGCAGCGCAGCTGTCCTGGTTACTTTTCTCTCGTTGCTGGGACAAAATACCCAGTGCTCAAAATTAAGGCAGGAAAGGTTTAGCTCACAGTGTGTGTCTATTTCAGCCTATACTCGGCTGGCTCCAAGGCAGGGTGGCCCGGCACGGGCAGCTCTCCAAGGCTACAGCAGAAGCTAAAGCTGCAAGAGCCAGAGGGCGTGGAGAGCAAGGCTTCTGTTGTGAGCAGCTGTAGTGCTCACACTGGCTCAGTGCCCTCGTCCCCGCAGGCTCAGGGTGTTTCCAAAGTGAGGAAGGAGCCTGGCTCCCTGCTGAGTTAAACTTCTAAACTTCTCAACTTGACTCAATGTCTCAACCCTCACAGCAGCCCCTAGGGGGAGGTCCAAGCACCCCCTCTCCTCTCCATCCCATTGTAGTTGTCCAAGCACCCCCTCTCGTCTCCATCCTGTTGTAGTTGTCCAAGCACCCCCTCTCCTCTCCATCCCGTTGTAGTTGTCCAAGCACCCCCTCTCCTCTCCATCCCGTTGTAGTTGTCCAAGCACCCCCTCTCCTCCCGATCCCGTTGTAGTTGTCCAAGCACCC